AACGGTGGAAAAATAGTAGTAGTTTGAGGTGATCAGTCCCTCAACCTGGCGGAGAGAGCAAAACGTTATGCCTGAAAAAGGCATATTCTACAACTTGTGCCTATGCTTTCATTCCTTTAGGCCTACGGCCTTGAAATAAGCACTTGCTATCAAGTGTATCTTGACGTGTTTTCTTAATAAAACGTGTTTCCTACTTGACGGAAAACTAGTTTTTTCCCCGTGTCTTGTTTTCTTCTTTGTGTCCTCCAGCAAACGTGGTCTTAAATAGTTAAGCTTCCTTTTGAAGCTCTATTTGAAGCTTTGTCGTATGTTTTGTTCTGTGTAGAAATTTATTAAGTCATGTTCCGTGCTGAGCTTTATAAAGTCATGACTTGACCGGCTCTACTCAGATCGAGACTTAATAAAGCTCTACAGAGAGCAAAAAGTTGTCTCAGTAAAAGCGCATTTTGCAACGCCTGCCTTATTTCCACGACAGACATGTTTTAAACATGTTTATCTTGTACGAGATGTTGGAAGCTGATTGGTGGTTTGAAACCAGCCGCTGGTCGATACGGTTCGTAATCAAATTGAGATTTCTGCTTGACGGATTTTATTTTGAGGAATTTCGGAGGATTCTAGGAGACACGGCTCCGTCCTTTCATGGAATCAACCAGGAATTTTAAGGAGGACGACGACTCACATATAGCCGTCAGCAGCTTTGAGATTTGTTGTGATGTTATGCACAGTGGTGAAAGCCAACTCACAAGCGAATCTCTGACAAGCTAGATATATACACTGGTACGTATATTCACCCGTGTATATATACGTTTAGACGCACGAACAATAAGGGACAATACACTGGTTGGGACATTACACAGATTGGAACAATACACAAATAACCACTACTTATCCACTTCCTTCCTGTCTCTGTCCCGTCCCTTTCCCCTTCTCTTATTTATACTACCTCCCTTACCCACATATGTTAGTGTGACTTGTAAATAGTAAGAGTCGGACCGAAACGTTGTCATCAGCTTCTTTCTCCTATGTGCATACACACACACATACACACATACACACACACATACACACACACACACACACATACACACACACATACACACACACACACATACACACACACACACACACACTTGCCAAAATGAATGCGCTTCATTGTTCTGCCTTGGATATCTGGGAATATGCATCCATAAAGTGAAATAGCAGAAAAATATATTGCATGGGGGAAAGTTGAAAAGCACAAAATATTCATGAAGAAAATATCATTTCAGTTTGATAAAGAATTCTAAATTTTATCATGGAAATCCCTTCATATTTCTGAATTCTGCCTCTCCCACACAGTCACAGTCACGCCCACGCCCACGTATCTAGGCATCACATGATGCCTTGAGCATCATTCATCCCCCACTGGGGGGTGATTGATGTTCTAGGCCTTTCATGTTGCAATCAAAACATTGTCAGGAGCTTGCAGTGTTACAGAAAGAATAGGAAATCCAACCAGATTCGTTTAGGGGAACGACTGTCTTCAGAACGACTTTGCCTGCACTTCCTACTCTTTCTCCAAGACTGCATGATCCTGAAGATGTGTGTTAACTGCAACACGAAAGGCCTAAAACATTCAACTCTCTTTGTGGTTATTTCGCATATTTTATCGCTTGTTCGCTATTACTGCTATATATATATATATTATATATATATATAATATATATATATATATATATATATATATATATATATATATATAGGCATACATATGAAGCTTCGTAATGGACAAACACCTGTGCATTAGAGAATAAATTAAAAAAATCAAACATGAAAGCCTGTTTATTCACCATATTGCAAAAAAAAAAAATCATTTGCATGAGCGGCACTCAAATTCTATTAAAAATTTACTTCCCTAAAAAATGTATAAAATTTTTGTTTCCTGTGATATGACAGAATGACAATATGACAAGCAAAGTTTTATTGTCTATATGCAAATGAGGAGGACAAGTTGTGAGTGGGTCATATTTGCATGCAGATTCAAGGGGATAAACGAGACTGTCTGCACTTTTGATCCGGGGAACTGGAGGTTGGGTCATATTCTTTGGATTAAGAGCTTTTCAGTGGCATCAAGGGTGAGGGGAATCAAACGTGTTGTGGGGACAAAAGATTTAGTTGCTATGACAACTATTGTGTGTATTCCCCTCAATGGAGTGGCCGTTAGAGATGGTCTTTCCTGTCTCCCCGTTAGAGACAGTCTCCCCTCTGTCTCCCCCTACACAAAGTTTCCCTTCTGTCTCTGCAGCACCAGGGCTACTCAGAAGTAGGGAGATGACTACAGTACCAGAGCTACTCAGAAATAGGGAGATGACTGTAGCACTAGGGCAACTCAGCAATAGGGAAATGACTGTAGCACCAGAGCTACTCAGCAATAGCGAGATGACTACAGCACCAGAGCTACTCAGCAATAGCGAGATGACTACAGCACCAGAGCTACTCAGCAATAGGGAAATGACTACAGCACCAGAGCTACTCAGCAATAGCGAGATGACTACAGAACCAGAGCTACTCAGCAATAGGGAAATGACTACAGCACCAGAGCTACTCAGCAATAGGGAGATGACTACAGCACCAGAGCTACTCAGCAATAGGGAGATGACTACAGCACCAGAGCTACTCAGCAATAGGGAGATGACTAACAGCACCAGAGCTACTCAGCAATAGGGAGATGACTACAGCACCAGAGCTACTCAGCAATAGGGAGATGACTACAGCACCAGAGCTACTCAGCAATAGGGAGATGACTACAGCACCAAAGCTACTCAGCAATAGGGAGATGACTACAGCACCAGAGCGACTCAGCAATAGGGAGATGACTGCAGCACCAGGGCGACTCAGCAATAGGGAGATGACTGCAGCACCAGAGCTACTCAGCAATAGGGAGATGACTGCAGCACCAGAGCTACTCAGCAATAGGGAGATGACTGCAGCACCAGAGCTACTCAGCAATAGGGAGATGACTACAGCACCAGAGCTACTCAGCAATAGGGAGATGACTACAGCACCAGAGCTACTCAGCAATAGGGAGATGACTGCAGCACCAGGGCAACTCAGCAATAGGGAGATGACTGCAGCACCAGGGCAACTCAGCAATAGGGAGATGACTGCAGCACCAGGGCAACTCAGCAATAGGGAGATGACTGCAGCACCAGAGCTACTCAGCAATAGGGAGATGAATACAGCACCAGAGCTACTCAGCAATAGGGAGATGACTGCAGCACCAGAGCTACTCAGCAATAGGGAGATGACTGCAGCACCAGGGCAACTCAGCAATAGGGAGATGACTGCAGCACCAGGGCAACTCAGCAATAGGAAGATGACTGCAGCACCAGAGCTACTCAGCAATAGGGAGATGAACACAGCACCAGAGCTACTCAGAAACAGGGATATGACTACAGCACCAGAGCTACTCAGCAATAGGGAGATGACTACAGCACCAGAGCTACTCAGCAATAGGGAGATGACTACAGCACCAGAGCTACTCAGCAATAGGGAGATGACTACAGCACCAGAGCTACTCAGCAATAGGGAGATGACTACAGCACCAGAGCTACTCAGCAATAGGGAGATGACTACAGCACCAGAGCTACTCAGCAATAGGGAGATGACTACAGCACCAGAGCTACTCAGCAATAGGGAGATGACTACAGCACCAGAGCTACTCAGCAATAGGGAGATGACTACAGCACCAGAGCTACTCAGCAATAGGGAGATGACTACAGCACCAGAGCTACTCAGCAATAGGGAGATGACTACAGCACCAGAGCAACTCAGCAATAGGGAGATGACTACAGCACCAGAGCTACTCAGCAATAGGGAGATGACTACAGCACCAGAGCTACTCAGCAATAGGGAGATGACTACAGCACCAGAGCTACTCAGCAATAGGGAGATGACTACAGCACCAGAGCTACTCAGCAATAGGGAGATGACTACAGCACCAGAGCTACTCAGCAATAGGGAGATGACTACAGCACCAGAGCTACTCAGCAATAGGGAGATGACTACAGCACCAGAGCTACTCAGCAATAGGGAGATGACTACAGCACCAGAGCTACTCAGCAATAGGGAAATGACTACAGCACCAGAGCTACTCAGCAATAGGAAATGACTACAGCACCAGAGCTACTCAGCAATAGGGAAATGACTACAGCACCAGAACAACTCAGCAATAGGGAAATGACTACAGCACCAGAGCTACTCAGCAATAGGGAGATGACTACAGCACCAGAGCTACTCAGCAATAGGGAGATGACTACAGCACCAGAGCTACTCAGCAATAGGGAGATGACTACAGCACCAGAGCTACTCAGCAATAGGGAGATGACTACAGCACCAGAGCTACTCAGCAATAGGGAGATGACTACAGCACCAGAGCTACTCAGCAATAGGGAGATGACTACAGCACCAGAGCTACTCAGCAATAGGGAGATGACTACAGCACCAGAGCTACTCAGCAATAGGGAGATGACTACAGCACCAGAGCTACTCAGCAATAGGGAAATGACTACAGCACCAGAGCTACTCAGCAATAGGGAAATGACTACAGCACCAGAGCTACTCAGCAATAGGGAAATGACTACAGCACCAGAACAACTCAGCAATAGGGAAATGACTACAGCACCAGAGCTACTCAGCAATAGGGAGATGACTACAGCACCAGAGCTACTCAGCAATAGGGAGATGACTACAGCACCAGAGCTACTCAGCAATAGGGAGATGACTACAGCACCAGAGCTACTCAGCAATAGGGAGATGACTACAGCACCAGGGCAACTCAGCAATAGGGAAATGACTACAGCACCAGACCTAATCAACATCAAGGAGGCGACTGCAACATACAACTCAGTAAGTTACCCACAATCACTGTTCCATCAATGCACATGTACATCGCCATTGTGCTTCGCAAATTTATTTGCCTTAGTGCAAAGGTGAGTGAAACAAGTTACACAAGAACTGACCTGTGTTTCCAGGCGCCACCGTTCACTGATGTGATGTAAACACGCACGTTCCTGATAAGATAAAACAAATTGCTCTTAACGTTTGAACCCTGAATCACTCATAAGCAACAACAGCAATAATAAATAATAATAATAATAATAATAATAATAATAATAATAATAATCTTTATTTCTCCAAGCACATGTAGAAAGCCCCTGGTTATGCAGAGCATTTCGGGCAAATTAGGTTTTATCTCCTAGGTGCGACCCACACTAGTGGGCTAACACTCGGGTACCTACTTACTGTTATGCAAATAGGGGCATCAGGTGTTTTATGTTACATTATGTTGTTACGCTAAATTACCGTATTAAAAAAAATACATATTAAAAACGTCTGTGACACGTCTGGCAACGTGGTATCATAGCATAGCGAAAAATAACATTAAAATACGCACGAGTAACATCTCGTATGAGGACTGAGTTGATGTATAAGGTACATCATGAACATATCTCCCAACCTTCACGTCTGACACATTGTATAAATTTGTGTGACATTGTTGAATCACACACACACACACACACACACACACACACACACACCAGAATAATTATTATTATTATAATCAAAATGAAGCGCTAAACCTACAAGACAACTAGAATAAGACTAGTTTAACAACGTTTACTGTTATCACCAGTTCTGAATTTACTTTTATTTAATAAGGAATTCTTATTCCTATTATTTATTATTATTAATTAAAATTAACAATAATGATTGCTGTTATTATTAATTACAATAATAAATTATTGCTATTACCATTATTTCATATTAATTATAATCAATAATAATTATCACTATTATTAATTAATAAATACCATCAAAATCATTATTGCCATTATTACTATCATTATTAATAATGATTACCATTAATTTTTATTACTGTTATTACTAATTACTGTTACTATTGCAATTATTGCTACTATTATAAACACGTTAGTGTAAGGGTAAACACAAATGGTCATTACCTTCTGTTTAACTATTATCCTCATGTAGAGTTAGTCTCACATGGACCACGCTTTTAATACCACCGTTTTATTGGCCCAACAGATCTGGTGAGGATTTTACCCGGCACTGATAATGACATGTAAACATGGTGTATTCTCTTGTCTGCAGGACTTTCTTACACTATCTTCATTTACAGTTCGTTGTTGACTCGCTTCTCTCTCTGCCAACACTGACTGTCAGTCCACACCTCTTCTCCCCTTCTGGGATTAGTTGTCCAACGACCTACTTACCAGCGGAAGAGCAGTGACGTCTTGCTTGGGGCAGTAGCTGGGCTACTTACGGAATTAGTACTTATAAAAATGTATTGATATGCAACAAGCGAGCAAGCACACAAACACACACACACAACACACACACACACACACACACAAGAAAACACACAACACGAGGAAACACACACACACACACACACACACACACACAAGAAAACACACACACACAAGGAAACACACACACACAAGTAAACACACACACACACACACAAGGAAACACACACAAAGGAAACACCACACACAAACACAAGGAAACACACACACAAGGAAACACACACACACAAGGAAACACACACACAAGGAAACACACACACACACACAACACACACACACACAAGGAAACACACACACAAGGAAACACACACACACAAGGAAACACACACAAGCATGTACATATGTACATGCACGCACGCAAAAACAACAAAAAAAACAACAAAAACAAATATACAACCATCAAAAAAACAAAGTAACGAACACGCATAAAAATCTTAATGCAAACAGATTCCCTCATATCAAGTTACGTCTAACTAGTGAGATCAACACACACCTGCAAACACGTCTCTTTCTGTATTTAAACGTTCACTCATCTAATGATTCAACAACCTAATCCTTAAGTATAACTTGCAATAGTTTTCTAGACCAGTTCCAGTCCACACGGACATTATTATGGGGGAGCGCTAAACGTGTAGGGGTTATAGAGCGCCTGTGGGGGAAGCGATAGAAGACATTGAGGCTTAATTCAAGGAACTGAAGCATAGATTTTAGTCCTTAGATCAAGAGCCCCTCACTAGTATCAAGGAACATGACACGGAGCACATTCTATATAGAAACCTCATATTATGCTGAGCATTTCGGGCAAATTAAGTCATTTTAGTTCCCAGGATGTGACCCACACCAGTTGACTAGCACTCAGGTACCTATTTTACTGCTAGGTGAATAGGAGCAGCAGGTGTTTTAAGGAAACACGTCTTAAAGTTTCCACCCGTACTTGGGATCGAACCACGGACCTCAATACGCGAGATGAGTACGCTACCACCCGAGCTACGGGTAGTAGCGTACCAGCACCTGTCACTCCACTGCTAGTCAGTCGATAATAAATTTATTTTGAAAATAAAGGTTTTAGAGTCAGTAGTTTATAATTTACAACGATATCTGCTTCCTTCTTTACGAGTTCTCATTACTGGCCGACGAATTGGCCTTTTACACAGTTCTGGAATTTTTCCCCTTAAGTGCATTAATTAGTTTCTCCGGGACTGTGGGTGCCCAGTTATATATATATATATATATATATATATATATATATATATATATATATATATATATATATATATATATATATATATATATATTCCGTGTCTAGTTATTGAATGAATTGACTCATTCATCGGCACTCTTATGTTTCCTGAACTTAACGTATTCTATACATCAAGTCTTAACCTTACTATGTTCTCAATACATCCCCTTCAGCGTCGTCCCTGGCTCCTACCACTACCCACATTGACAGTCCTGCCCCTGGCAGTTTGTACACACAAGAGATCTGCTGAGCACAACTCAGTAAGAGTAACGGATGTGGAAACTTTGCAAAGCCAAATAAATTAGCCCTAGTTTATGTGTGACCCGTTTTCTATGTTTGTGACTATGTTTCCCGTTCTCTATGTAACTCTGTTTGCTACCCGTTCTCTGTTTAAAACCCGATTCTATACTCGTCACCCGTTCTCTATATTTCTACCCGTCCCTCCCCCTTTATTTACCTATTACCAAGTTTGATTCCCGTTCTCTTTATCTCTCTCTCTCGATATATATATATATATATATATATATATATATATAATATATATATATATATATATATATATATATATATATATTTATATATAATGTCGTGCCGAATATGCAAAACTGGTCAATTAGCAAGAACTCATTTAAAATTAAATCCTTTCTAAACTTTTCTCTTATACGTTTAAAGATATATTTTTTTCATTAATGTTAATGCAAAAATTTTTAATTTTGCACCAGAAGAATCTTAGAAAACTTACCTAACCTTATTACAAGAAGAACAATTTATTTTAGCCTAACCCAACTAAATATATTTTAGATTTGTTTACAGTAATTTAATACTAAACAAACAGAGATAAATATATTTTTTTCGTTAGGTTCAGAATGATTTTGGCGAAATTATTGCATACACAAATTTTCACTTGTCCTATATGGCAAGATGAGCGTTGCTATTTAAGCCAAGATCGCAAGTTCTGCCTATTCGGCACGACATTATTATATATATATATATATATATATATATATATATATATATATATATATATATATATATATATATATATTTTATATATAAAAATATATATATATATATAACATATTGGTGAAAATTTCTTCTCAATACCACTGCAATTATCGGTTATATATCTTGCTGTAATTAGGGGCAGTCACGATAACGATTGTCAATACTGGCGCTGGTCAGTAATTAATTTTCTATATCGAAGATAAATATCCTATTAATCAGGTTTGTAAGAGTTTTATACCAGTTCTAACGTGTCACGATCGAGGTGTTGAGTCCAGAACTAAACGTCAACATATTACTGTACTGTGTCGCTTCATTTGTGTTTTCGTTTTCTAGTATTATCTTTGCTTTTGGCATACAAACACACGTGCAAGCACGCATGCGCAAGAACACACACACACACACACACACACACACGTAGACACACATACACACAGGAGCTAGGACTCGGCCCCTGCAACCTTAACTAGGTGAGTACACACACACACACACATTCATAAGCAATGGGACCCAATTGTCACTATGGATTTTGCTAGAGGGAGCAGAAGCCCTCTCCCCAGCCAGTTAAAATGTACTAGTCAACGAATACAGAACAACTGTCAGAGATCTGAAAGCCAGGGAATGTATCCCTAGTATTTAAATAAAGGAGACAGGAGGCGTCACACTACAAACCAGTATCATCAACATGCATACTCTATGTCAGACAAGAAGATAATTAGGAGAGTGATGGGGCACCTGGAGATCAATGGTTTTAGAAACATAACCATCACGGGTTTAGAGATTGCAAATCTTGTCTCACAAACCTCTTGGAGTGTCATGACAAAGTGATAGGAAGTGTGGCAGGGAAGAAGAATTGGTGGATTACCTATTGCTACACCTCACAATAGACTATCACGAAATCTTGAGGAACAAACAGGAATAACAAGGAATACGCTATAGTAAATTAAGCACTACATGGGGAAAAGGGAAAAAAAGTGATTATCCGACATATCAGGATGGGAAAGTATAAGAAGTGGAGTCCCTCAAGGATAGCTAGGACCAATACTGTTTCTGGTTTATGGGTATAACATACTAGAGACAGCAGAGTTAGACGCCAACTGAAATCTACTAAACCTGTTGCCCTTGTTTACCTAGCGAGACGTAGACATTACTTCTGTGGAGAGTATCTCCATTCCCTTGGATCAAGATTTCTTCAAAAGTATTAGAGTTCATCATACCTAATTTTTAGTCAGGAGAAAGCGCTAACCCGTAGGGTCCAACGCACATGTTGAAAATTCCGGAGTAATTGTGCTCGATCCGAGGAAGAATAGATTAGCTCCATTTCCTTGGATTAAGAACCCTTCTCAAGCAAGAGCGGCACTGAAGAAAGTCAGTGTTCGACTCGTCCTTCACGCAAATTACCGCGTGACAGAGAGGCCAATATTCAGAGTCTAACTTTCACAAAATTGGGCTTTTGGGATCGCATGAATTGACGGTAATTATACATTGATTATAGCAGTATATGCATGTGTCTTCATTTTGTGATATAGTGTGTCCGTTTCCACGACCATTAGCGCTCCGAATGAGGTGATTTGACCGGTGTGTGATTTTATTTCGATAATTTTAGAGCACTCTCAAATGAACCAGGTCGCGGGATTAGTTGTGTGCACGTGAAATTTTAGGAGGGATACGACCAGGTGGAGGGCTAATGGAAGAGTGGTGGAGGGGGTGGAAGAGTGGTGGTGGAGGGGTGGAAGAGTGGTGGTAGAGGGGTGGAGGATTGGAGGAAGGCTGGCAGAGGACTGATGACAAACTAGAAAAAGGAGTCGGAGGTAGTCTGGGGAAAGAGCACGAGAGGGAGTTATGGAGGGCTGGAAGGAGGGTTGGAGTAGGGTTGAAGGGAGAGCTGGAGGGAAGACTCGAGGCAGGGGTGGAGTGAAGGCTGGAGGCAGGGCTGGAGGCAGGGCTGCCATGTTCCAGATACAAAGTTGGAGGGAGGTTTGAAGGCAGGGCTGGAGGGAGATCTGGAGAGCTGGAGGCAGGGCTGGAGGCTGGCTGGAAGCAGGGCTGGTAGAAGATCTGGAGGGCTGGAGGGGGACTGGAAGCAGGGCTGGAATAAGGCTGCCATGTTTCAGCTACTAAGCTGGAGGGAGGTTTGGAGGCAGGGCTGGAGGAAGATTTGGAGGGCTGGAGGGAGATCTGGAGGGATGGAAGGGGACTGGAGGCAGGGCTGGAATAAGGCTGTCATGTTTCAGCTACTAAACTGGAGTGAGGTTTGGAGGCAGGGCTGGAGGGAGATCTGGAGGGCTGGAGGCAAGGTTGCAGGCAGGGCTGGAATAGGGCTGCCATGTTCCAGCTACTAAAAGTTTCTGACCGTCAGGGAGGAACTGAGGGCAATAAATCCATGAGAAATTACACCCGAAGTTAAGGAGCTGTTACAGCAAAGTGGTCCAGAAGTTGTTTTCCAAAAGTTACTCTTTATGGAAGTTTGGGAATCGAGAGCTGAAGATCCAGAAGTGTTGGATGTAGGTGTTGGAGTTCCAGGTGGATGATGATGTTGCAGTTCCAAGTGAATGATGATGTTGAAGTTCGAAATGATGCTGAAGTTCCAAG